GTATAATGGCGCAATAAGGATAAAAATACCACCGTTCGATTCAGCGTAAGAAATTGCATTTACGGATGTCAAATGTATTACTAAACAACAGTGTTCTAGCGATTTATGGCCTTTGAAAATCAAGCGAAATTCAGATTGTTGACAAATCGCTCGCAGTACGTATATAGGATATTTGCTGACAGACAGACAAATCACTCGCAGTACGTTTGTCTTTGTATTTGTAATGCTCAATGGCCATAGATATCTTATATACACTAGATAGTGCATCTCTTTTAGTAAAATTGAAGCTAAGAATACTCCAGCGGTTACCCCCATTTGAATAGATGGCGGCCATGTTGGTCGTTCCCACTTCCTAAAAAACGCTTAAAAACAACCATAACTTTCATCATTTGAATAGTTTAAAAACGTATTTGGAATAGGGTTAACTTAATGTTTAAGGTCCCTGTTTAAGAAATAGAAAACATACGAATCTTCTCATTTCATGGGAACGACCTGAGACTGCAATCACGGCTTCAATTTTTGAATTGCAGAATAATTAGATGCACTATCTAGTGTATATATACAAGATATCTATGCCAATGGCGCAATACGGATAAAAATACCACCGTTCGATTCAGCGTAAGAAATTGTACTTACGGATGTCACATACTAAACAACAGTATTCTAGCCATTTATAGAAATTGTGGCCTTTAATTTGTCTTTGAAAGCCAAGCAAAACCGTATTGACTATTGTTGACAAATCGCTTAAAATTATTCAACTAACTTAGGTTGCTTATTAATGATAAGTGTCTAAGACGGTGTCACAGTGATATGAGTATCCCCGTGTTTTGTGTATCCCCTACTAATATCACTAGGGATTTGTGTATCCCCATGCTCACCTCACTAGGGATATGTGTATCCCCGGCAATATGGCGGTCGTGTTCTGCGTATCCCTAAAGAACCACCCTACATTCCCACATCACTAGGGATACAAGTATCCCTAACATTTCGCGGGAAATAAAACATGCAGAACTGTACATACAAGCTTGAAAATAACACTCTAAATAGTGTGTTGGATTGTGTTCCGAACAAGACTAATACCAAAAAGATATGTTGAAAGGGGCCGAAGTTATATTCGGCGAAAGGTATGGCTTAGTGATGCATTGTTTACATTCTTCGAGTTTTAATATTGTATATAGTATGGTATGGTGAGTTTACATTGTTCAAGTATGCCTAGTTTATAATTTATGGCTATTTTACATTGTTCGATTTCATAGAACTTTACAAGCGGATTTTTTTGGTGGTACTTTCGTATTTCTACTGCAAATACTCGCGGAGTTCTGTAATATTTAAACTTCCTGTCATATACGTCGGAAATCAAGTAATACGGAGCCATATGAGTTAATGTTAAGAGTAATTCTACACTATGTTCTACACCAATTTATGCGACGCGAACATGCTATCTTACAACAAAAGTACAATCACACTATACACATTTACTTAATAACTGTAAAAATGTAAATACTTAATACCGGAAAATAAAGGCACAGATAAATGAGCTCATATTTTGAATATTGCACCTTTCGCTTCTAGTGTTGTAGGTATCCCCACCGGGGGTACTTTTATCCCTAGGGATATTAGTGTGGGGATACACAAAACACGGGGATGTTCGTATCACTGTGACAACGGCTCAAGTTACAACCATTGAACTATAAATAAACTGGAAGGCTAACTCAGGGGGGGAAATTGAAGCCAGTGCATTTTAGTTTTTCTGAGTTATGAGCAGAAATACTCAACACTGAACGTTGGGCTATATATCAAATTGAAGCTATTGAAAAACTCTATTTGGTGTAAAAATTTCAAGACTTTAGCGAAAAGGGAAATATTGAAAAACTACAAACATAATTACCGATAATTTGCCGTTTTGCAGTTATTTTTGTATTTTTTAAAGATTTTTCTTTTCGCTGAAGTCTTGAAATTTCCACACCGAATAGCAATTTTCAATAGCTTCAATTTGATATATAGCCCGACGTTTGGGGTCAAGTATTTCTGCTCATAACTCAGAAAAACTATTTTGGCTTCATCAAATCATAGGCCTTCATCATAGCAGTTAGCCTTCCAGTTTATTTATAGTTCAATGGTTACAACCCGCAGAAAATTAAATATTCTCACGAATATTCTGACGTGATGTGAATGTTTTTCAATAGCATATTAGCATTTGTCAAATGTTTGTCCATAACTTGCCTCACGTTGTTGGATAAGTTTACTCAGACTTCAAATACTGGATTGTGAATTCCAGAACAATGAGAAAGCAGTGAAACAGTCCGAGCACTGAATTGTGAGGGCATGACGCTCAGTGGCGTGGTTAGCACTTTTTTCCATCCAGCAAACCGCCCTATCGATTTTCTAAAGTCGGGTTTTTTTATTAATTCGGTTAGGGTTAGGGTTAGAGTTAGGGTTGCGGTTAGGGTTAGGGGTTAGAGTAGGAGTAGGGTTTGGGTTAGTTACATAACTTACATAGCCATTTTTAGGTGTTAAAACACCTCTTCCTCTGCACCTCTTCTATCTTCCAAAAATGACGTCAGGTCAGTTTGCTGGATGGAAAATAGTGCTAAACCAGTGGCGTAGGCAAAGGGGGGCGAGGGGGCCCGGGCGACCCCTCCCCAATCGCCACAAAAACCATTCTCTCAAAAAATCTAAATCCGTAGAGAAATTGGGGAATACACATTACATTCTCGAAGCTAAAACTGTAATAATAATATAATAATAGTGAGATTTATTTACACGTTCAATAGCGGATTGGCCAAATTACAACGTGTTTACAAGCATTAATTAAAATACTTTGCAATATTACTTCAATTACCCTATGTGTATTTAAAATTACCTAATATATATTTATATGTGCACTAATATGATCATGGTAAAAGTTCTATTTATCTAATTTAAAATTGTACTCATTACTGTAATGTCAGTAATTGCATAAACTAAAGGACTATTTCTAAATCGTTCATGACTAAGTCTCGACGATTTACTGGAGCAGATTGATGTGTAAAACCTCGTTAAAGCATTTGTATATATGGCTCCAAGAAGAATGGATTTAGTAATTTAGATTCAGTTCATTTTTCAACTGTTAAATGGCATGTAGGTCATTACCATAGCATGAATATTTCTTCTCATATTTGTTCGGTATCAGTTATGAAAAGTAATGCAATTTTGAGAATGTAGAACCTAGAATTATCTAACTAGAATTATCTAAATTCAAATTTACGATCAAAATCACATTGGGATCCCCCCTCCCCCCCCCTCCCCTCCCTCCCCCCCAAGGTGACTTTTCCATCCATGTCTTTGATGTAATCCTCGGAATTCTGCAAAATTTCAAAATCTTCAAATCGCTTCAAATCGCATTTCCGGAACTCTAAATTTCAAATTTTCTCCGGGGGAGCCCCATCGGTCTCACACCATTGGCGTTCGCTTTTTAGTAGTAGGGTTCTTTCACTAGTCAGTGAGGAAATAGGAGTAAGAAGCTGATTTTGAATGACATTATTTATATATTTTGCAATTTGAAAATTAAAAGCCATAATTCACTTATTTTGCAACGGCCTGGCCGTCGCCTAATCTAGATAACAAGTTTAGAATAAAGAGGTTCTTTTTAAAATCATTTGAATTCGATCTCCCAAGGAGAGATGATGTAAAGATACAGACAGCTTGTCTGCTATTTAACAATTATTCGCCGAAGGCGAGTGATTATCGGTGAATAAAAACCGAGACGAAGTCGAGGTTTTTATTCACGATAATCACCGAGCCTGAGGTGAATAATTGTTTTAGTATAATTTCATAGGTGATTATATGGAAAAAAATAAAAAAATACACATTTCTTCGTCATTTAATTGACAAAAAGGCTTCGGCCGCCATTTTGAAAATCGCTTAGGTGATTATCGCGTAATAATCACCTCAACGGCAACCAATCAGCGTGGAGAATTTTCAATAATCACCTATGTAATTATACTAAAAGCAATTATTCACTTTAACCCATTGCTAAAAGCATTTTTAAATTAATTGATAATTCTCCGTAATTTGGAGAAAAAAGATATTCGCTATTACGCATGTTGTGTTATTGAAAATAATAATTGTATTTTGCTCAAGATGTTTCGTTATCTTGATCGACTTGATACCATTGTAATAAACCACAAAAAGATCCTTGACCTTGCAGGACCTAGTTAACATCTATACGCTTCTCACGAATCACGAAAGTAAATGTTCACGAACTGTTACAACTATCTACATGAAATACGAGTGTGTTTGTGCCACAATGGAAAGTGCCTTTTATCTGTACATTCCTGTACGAGTTCCGACTTTCAGAGTTCTTGACTCCACCAAACACAATGGACCTCCAAATTCAATTTAGAACTGATAGAGCAATGCAGTATCAGAACTATATACTTAGTTTAGTTTTCATTTCCTACTGTTGTGATGCTGAACCACTATCGATGAGAAAAGCAGTTTAGCACTGAAAGAGCTAGCTATCCAGTGAGTATCAACATCGACATTAGCTGCGAACTTAAGTTAGTTTAGGTTCCTCCCGTTTTTAAATGATGACCCTTATTGGATTGCTGGGAGAACACTGATGGAGTTGCCCAGTACATAAATAAAGTATTTAACCATTGATGACAGTAGAGTGGAAACGAAAAATACAAGATCTAAATAAATATCCTCTAGTATAGTTTAGGTTTCGTCCTTCTATAGTCACAATGGACCACTAGAGAACATGCAGTTTACAACAATAAATAAAGCTATGCAGTATAAATAATTTAAATTCAATTTTGTTGAATTTATTGGTTGCGCACAAGACTCAGATCTAGAAATAGTATTTATAAAAATATTGCCGATTCACTGATATAATAACCTTAAACAGAAAACATTGTTTACAGCAACTTCTCTGCGAACATGCCTGGCTCGTTGCAGTTTCCGCGTGTTTGAGAGCTTCGCATGGCTCACTGACTCGCACTTTATACAGACCCAACATGATAGATACTTTAAATAACAACAATAATGAATTAACAGTTCCAACACTGTATATTTGTGGTTGCCTATATTCCATAATTAGCCTTTCTCACGAAGGCCAAATTCGCCATTTTTGAGGTACTTTTTTGAAAACGACATGAAACATCTAAGCGATGTGAAAACATTTTTTCAAATATTTAACTGTAAATTAACGTATAATGATTATACTCACAATTATAGTTATACAAATCCCTTATTCACTGCATACAATCTCAGATTTGGAAAAGGCAGTACCCCAAACTGCCAAAGAGAGAAAGGCTAATTCAGTCGCAATTTTGTTTTTTTTCAGTAAGAAAGGATTTATATATTTTACGAACTCCAGTTCCGACTTCCAGTCACAAAGCTGATCATAGCAACTGGTGATGCATGCTATACTTATAAATCTCCATCTAATATAGGTTAAAGACAATACATTTCTAGTGAAGGTTTGAATAATTAATGCATTAAACATGTGCACAGTATGACCAGTTGCTGTGGCTAAAGCTGCGCCACTGCCAACTTCCTAGGTATAGACAATTTTTCTATGAAAGAAAAACAGCTTAGTTGTTCAAAGGTTTTGAACTTGCTAGCCAAACTCAATGACAAATTTACTACGCTTCATTAGGTTGTATTTTTGTGAAGCATTCAATCTTCAAATCGAGGTCACGTCAAATATAATCTATGATCAACGTCGCTGAGCAATAACTTCTTCACCGTAAACTGCCACGAAAGTTGAGATATATCCGAAAACCCCCCTCTCAAATGCGCCAAAACCGTCTAACCGCCAAACTATAATAGACCCCCTACTGCATGAACGTGACGTGCTGAGCCAATAGGACAATCGATAGAAGCTAAATTTTCTTTCACTAATAAATCTGAATTGTTAATGATTTTGCAGTTATAATGCGCAAATCAAAGAGAAAACTGCAGTTTTGTTTTAGCTGTCAACATGATAGGTGCTCTCAAAACTTACTTAATTATCAAGAACAAGGAAACAGCGTGTTAATAAAATTCATAAATTCGGTGAGTAAAATTACATATATACTGTACTTCTCTTCTTAATAAGCATTAGCCGAAAATTATCTCGATAATGCATGAATCCAACCGCGTGCATGATAGCTATATATACAAATGCAGAATAACCCTATATTTTTGTTAAAGAGTTAGTAAGTTAGTAAGTATAATATCCATGTTAGTTATAGTTCATAAGATACTGTCTGTTTCGTAAGTTGAATTCTGTATCACACTATCACTTATTCAGAATGCAGCACTTGTACAGTGTTGTACTCTAGCTTAATTCACACGAATTTAAAGGTGCACATGACACAAAAATTTTTTGTCCCAAATTTTTATGCATCACTTGAAAGTACCTTGAAAATGATGAAGAATGGCCTTAAAAATTCATTCACAGCTTATCTCATTCCCAAGTTATGGGGCATTTTGTGTTATGACGTCATAGGCCGTTTGCTGTGACCTCGAAAAGTGCCTAGAAAACGATTGGAACTGAAAGATTTTTACGGGAACTAACACTTTCGAACACGCTGAGTTCAAATCCGAAAAGTTCCCGCTCCGTGGAACAAGGCAACAACAACAAAATTATGATATTAATTTTATGTCCAACTTTATTTCATTTTAGCTATTCAAGACATATCGCCATATAAGTACAACATGAATGCAAACATACATGTAATATCCAACATACGAAACTTGACACTTGACCCCATGCCATACTACAGGAACTCTCTAGGCCTCTCTACACAAGATAAACAGAATCTCCGAGTTTCATTTATTATTTAGGCAGGACAATAACACACTACGCAGTGAAATGGAACGGCAAGAAAGGGCAGTGGTTTTGTGTATTCTACTTTCATTCCTTGGCCATGGAAAGTGTGCAGAAAGAAAGTACTTTATTGCCGCGGTTGAAGAGAAGTGGAACTATGCACCAACGGGGACAAACCAGTTAACTGGCGTCTCATTGGATCAAGATGAGTAAGTTTCACTTTGATTTAATCTTGAGCGGCCTGTGGCAGTGTGCGTTGTGGCAATAATGAGAGAGATTCGGATTGATGGGGATACAACTACCTGAGAGCAGAACTTTACAAGTTTTCCTTGTATTTACAAGTTCACAATTATAGTTACAAAAAAATACAAGTTCTCTGTGCATTTTCAGGTTGTTGTATCGCTATCAATCCGTAGCTTTCTACGTTTTACTATCTTTGTTTTGAACTGCCTGAAAGAAGTGAAGAAGGCTTGCACGTTTCGAGACTTTTCCTTCACACACGAAGAGACTTCGTGAAACGACAAAGCTCTATGTCATATGAGCCGGAAGACAATTTGCGCAATAGCAGGAAGTCCACAGATACATTCAGGTGTTTCGCGTTAGATTGTCATTATAGTTGGACTCGAACACTAGTGTGTTCAGGCTAGCCTAAAGAGCAAGGCTAGCCTTCATCCACGTAATAATACAAAGCAGCATGGTTCTGAAATGCATTGCATGCACGCCAGCATTCCTAATAAATGTGGGATTTTTTATTCAGCTCAAAATCTTACCACCCGCGATATTTAGTCTGTGGTGAAATCGTATTCCTAATTAAGGGATCGGTCAAGAAAACCCGCTCAGTTTATTGACCGTCACACGCGAATAAACGAGAATAAAAAAGCTGTAATTTTGCAAATAGATGACTCTCTAAAACAGTAGCTGTGGCTATAAAAGTTAGAAATTATTTACTAAGATCTATTCTAGTACTGAGTGTCATGATATTAATCAGACGAATCAATTATTTGTCACTTTGCTGCGCAAAACGCCGAAATACAGTCATCTAAACTACAAAAGCCATTGAATACGTCTAATCCCTTAGCTTTGCTAAATAAAATATGCGAAAAAGACGTGTTTTAGCGAAAGTAAAAAATTATATTGTGTTCGGTATTATCTTACCACTTATGCCGATTGAATTCTTCAAGTGGTCCTTCAAGTAAAAAATTCAAGTACTTTTTAAACGCGCTGAAACACTCCTTATCAATTTCAAAAGTACTTTCATACCGTTAATTAATTAATGAAAATTATTTCGTAAGATCGTGTGGTGTCTGAGCCAGACTGAGCGCTTAAAATGATTAACCATTCTTTTCCACTCGTCGCAAAAATCAACTCGCTGCGAGTGCTTGCATCCAAGTAAAATAAATTGTTGAGCATTAGCAGTTACAGCAAGCCTAGGAGATGCGATGAATGGTATCTTGAGAAAACCCAGAGCCAGGATTACCATCACTTTCTCAGGATTTTGCTTAATATATCTCCTCACAGGTCTGCAGCTGTATTCACTGAAAATGATCCTACAAAGACGATAGGAAGGGAATACAACAAAGTTTTATATCGAGAATGTACTGATTCATCCTGTTCTGCTATGAAAGACCATCCAGCTTATCTTGGAGTTCTTGGTCCTGTCATTCGTGCTGAAGTTGGTGACACGTTGCATATTCACTTCACTAACCGTGCAAGTAGAAATTACTCTGTGCACCCTCATGGCGTATTTTATCGCAAGAACTCCGAAGGTGCTCTGTATGAGGTAAGTAAGTAGGTCGGTTGGGTTAGGTAGGTAGCTGGGTAGGTAGGTTGATTATATAGGTAGGTCGTAGGTAAATCGTAGGTTGGTTGGTATTATTACTTGGTAAGGTAGGTGGGTTAGGTAGGTAGCTGCGTAGGTAGGTTGGTTAGGTAGGTTGATGGTAAGGTACGTAGGTAGGTTTCAGTGAAAATTATGATATTAAAAATGCTAGATGCGCGGCCAGGATTCATAATAAAGTTTGTGAAACCGCGTTCTCTGATCGTAAATTTTTATTTAAAACACGAGCTTTCGATTGCTAGTCTGCAATCTTCATCACTTTACCTGTCGAAGACTGCAGACTGGCAGTCGAAAGCTCGTGTTTTAAATAAAAAAATTTACGATCAGAGAACGTTCCAGAAATGTTTTTTGAAAATTATGATCCAACTGATGGTGGTCAACTTTGGTGGTGACATTTAGGGGCGTAGCCAGCCCCAAACGAGTGGGAGGGGGTCCATTCGTCGAATACACACTAGCACTTGGTTCTGAAGAAAAGTGGGGGCCCCCATTCCCCCGGTGGCTACTCCCCTGGTGAAATTAATAAGAGAAGGTGAACTATATTATTTCTTTTCCACCAAATATAAGACTACTACATGTAATGAAAAGAATGAACATTATTTTCCTACTCTGTCACTCTGATAACAATATTTATTGAAATACTATTTAAAACATGAGCAATGTTTTATCAGATATAAAGATACGAGGTGAAGCCGAGTATCTTTAGGTCTGATAAAACACGCACTGCGAATGTTTTAAATTGCTTCAAAAACGATCGATCGAGTAAGTTCATTGGCGAAGTAATTTTCAAAAAATACATTGTGTGAAGTCGAAAAAATCAAAATTAAAGTTTATGTAAGGGAAAGGGAAATCTCTATCACATATAAAGATACGACACGCTTATGATTTTTCTTTGTGTTTTCCTCATGAATTAATGATGAGTTTTTGAAACCAAATTGCAAAACTGTGTTGTCTTGCGTAGGATAAAACTTCAGGCGGAGATAAAGAGGACGATGGTGTGCCTCCGAATAGAAACTACATCTACATTTGGCAAGTGAAAAAAGAACATGGACCTACAGCAAGCGATTCCGATTGTTTGACCTGGGCGTATCACTCGCATGTAAATCCTCAGAAGGATGTTAATACTGGACTTGTAGGTAATGATTGAAAGTATTAAATGTCGAATGCGCCCAGGACCAGGGTGCCCTGGTTTACCCAATTCTTGGGTGTCAATTATGTAATGTTTAGGCATAATTGACTCAAATGGGGTCAATAGTTGAACTGAGGTGAACTAAAACAACAAGGAAACAAAATGGCTGTCAATGCATCTTATGTAAATGAATTCTCCGACGATTATGAAAAGCAATATAAAACAATATAAACGATATAAAAGCCGTCCTTAAATCTTGACACAGACCCTTGACCCGCACGTGACGTCATATGACACGAGAATTGACGAAGACTTTTTTTTCAATATTTGTATCTTGCAGGCGCGATGATAATTTGCAAGAAGGGTACATTTCAAAACAACAAGCATAAAGACATAGATAAAGATTTCGTGATATTGTTCACTGTTATGGATGAAAATTACAGTTGGTTGTTACAGAAAAATATCAAAGAATATTGCCCACAATTCAGTTCATCAATAGATGACGCAGATTTCCAGGAAAGCAACAAGATGCACGTGATCAATGGTTACTTCTATGGCAACACACCGGGACTAGAGATGTGTACTGGGGATAGAGTGGACTGGCATATGTTTGGTATGGGGACAGAGGTGGATATACATACAGGTAAGATTGTTGTATACCTACATATCCCACATTATCAAGATGATTTTGTATAAGCACTATCGTGCAACAGAGGGTGATCAACCTGTAGTTATCAGAGTGAGAAATTAATGTTGATTCTTTTGATTAAGCGCAGTGAGCTTCTATATTTGATCACAAATAAATACAATTTTGAGATTCAATTCAATTTCCTTGCTCCATTGGTGTCAGGGTCGTATCTAGACGCAATAATTGGGGTGGGGGTAGTATATTCATATATTCATGTTCACATACCGCAAAAACAATCGCTTTCAAAAGAAATCCGTCGGGCAGAACACGAATATATTAATATACCCCAAATTATCGCGCTAGGAACGGCCTGATTAAATTTTCTAAGTTAATTAGAAATCTGCTAGATTTTAGCAGATCACATGACCAGTGTCTACCATGGGTACGAGGTTGAAGATTACTACGTTCACAAATTTCCCACTTCTGATAACTGTGGGTGCTGCAGCACGATGGTGCCTAGTGAAACTGCGTATGATAACGTTGTTCTACCTTTTTCAACATTCACCACAGCTGTAAAACTTGGACTATTTTATTTTCATTATTCAGCTTTCTTTCATGGTCAGACAGTCCAGATAGATGGTCATCGTAAAGATGTTGGTTCAATGTTTCCCGCCAAGTCAAGCACAGCTCATATGACCGCAATGAATCCTGGTACATGGCTTCTAAATTGTCTGGTCAATGACCACTACTCGGCTGGAATGTCCGCGTTATTTAATGTCACCAACTGCCCAGGAAAGACTGTGCCCAGTACCAAACCGCTGGATGGGAAGACAAGGAAGTATTTTATAGCTGCTGAGGAGGTCGTCTGGGATTATGCGCCTTCTGGATTAGATAATTTTAACGGTGGCAACTTGACAAGTGAAGATAGGTGAGGGCTTTCTATTGACTGGACTGATATCTAGAGTTCATTGCTGGCTTCACCCTGAAGCACTATCGTGCATCAAATACACGCGTAAAAATTATGAGCCTGCTGTTTAACAGCATTGAACAATGTTTGCTTCCCACGTTGTCTACACTTGTCAACTATATTGAACAATATTTTTGAGCCTGAATTGGGTATGACAATATTGTTCAGTATTTTTGAAAACTGTGAACAATGTGGGCAGCGAAACATTGTTCAATCCTGTTTTCATCAACCATTGCAACAACCGGATCATTTTTAGCCGTAGTTGCCAACCTGCAGTTTTCAGAATCAACAAAATGTTATTTTTTTTCATTATATTGATTGAAAACTTTATTTCAAGAGGGTGACAGATAACAGTTCGTAAAAACTGATTATATGTGGTAGTTAGATGTGGTAGTTAGATGTGGTAGTTTGGTGTCTGAAGGAAAATGAATGATAATATCTGAAGGCAAATGAATAATAATATCTTTAAGCTTTACTCTCTCTATAATTACGGTAATACCTTCAACAGATTCGTTCACATTTATCTTTTTATTTAGCAAGGGGCATGAATTTTTTGCTAAGTCAGACCAATCAATCGGTGGCAGATACTGGAAAGCTCTGTACTTTGAACATACTGACAGCAGTTTTAATCAGAGGAAAGTTAAAGAAGAATATTTGGGATTTTTGGGTCCAGTGATCAGAACTGAAGTTGGAGACACCATCATTGTCGAATTTAAAAATATGGTGAGGTGGTGTGACGTATGTTTCAAATTACATTACCAAAGCAGTAAGCAGTTCAAGAGCTGGTTTTCGAAACGGTTCACTTTATGCATCATATATAACTTCAAATATTTTCTTTTAGGCATCATATAACTTCAGCATACAGCCGCATGGAGTATTTTACAACAAATCAAATGAAGGTTCACTGTACAACGATGGCACATCGGGCATAGCCAAACAAGATGACTTGGTTAAACCAGGCCAGACATTTGTTTACGACTGGACAATACCAGAACATGTAGGACCAACCAAAGACGATCCTGACTGTCTCACCTGGGTTTATTCCTCGGCTGTAGACCCCATTAAAGACGTTTACTCTGGTAATATTACGAATTTTTCATCAGCAAATCAAGAAATCAGTACCGTATCACTGTTTTGATAAACGTACTTTTAAAATCACTAAATCACTATGATAAGCAGCTTCAAGTGAAGCTATATAATATGGCGTCTCAAATGAAACACTTGAAACAATATTTAAAGAAAAATTCAACGTAAGAGTTGATTTTATGAAGACAACGAATTACTAATTTTTTCTTTACTTGGTGTGTTTAGGTTTAATTGGGCCACTCTTGGTTTGCAAGAAAGGAACTTTAGACAACAATGGAAAACAGAAAAATATTGATAAGGAGTTTGTTTTAATGTTTACTGTTTCAAACGAGAACGAGGCTTTGTATATTGAAAAGAATGTGAAGCAGTTTATTGGGGGCGCTGCAGCAAAGTCTTATACTTATGGTAAGACTATCTACGATCTTGGATATAACTGGCTGAGATTACCTTTCCGTCTATGCAAATTTTCCCCTTATGATAAATTTCGTGTTGAATCATGTTTCACTTCTTAAGCTCCCGTTCCTCCAACTCAATGTTGAGCTTGTGTCGTGGTAAAGTTGTTTCGGTGCTGTTTACACTTTACAACATTGAACTGAGGGAGAGAGCGTGACGAAATCGGTTTTCTTTAACTTTGCAATATTGGCTGGAATGGACTCAAGGGTTGGTCCAAGATTGTAGCATATCATATCTGATCTGATATGGATAGTACAATTGCTATTCTCAGTGATAAGCAAAGAGCACATTCTATCCAGTTATACAAAGTTTAGTATTACTGTGTATTGTATTTGAATGTCCACAGATGCGGAAAAGGAGAACAATCTTATGCATGGTTTAAATGGTTTTCTGTTTGCCAATCTTCCTGCTCTTGACATGTGTTTGAATGATGAAATTTCCTGGCATCTGATTGGTTATGGCAATGAAGTTGATATTCATGGCGCGTATTTTCATGGTCAGACATTTTTGATGAATAAAAATCGTAAAGATGCCGTTCACTTGATACCAGGTAAGGAAAACTTAGTTGCAATGAACATGGATGGCCCACAACTCTAAACTATTATTGGTCCATTGTAACTGCAGGAGAACACCTAAACTCTGCATAAATTAGTGGCGGCGGAACGGGTTTTTTTTTTTTTGGGGGGGGGAGGGCTAATTTTCAGCTACGTTGGGTATCGTAGTTTTCCGCTAAGTGCAAACACGACACGCAAAACATGATCCAACTATCACAGCAGCAGTGTAGGAAGATATTCAAAGTTAGTAGGTTGAAAACTAGGGGTCCAGGGGCATGCTTCCCCGGGAAAAGTAGAAAAAATTGAGGGTCGGAAATGCCTGCATTTTCTGGCACCAAATTGAAGAATTTGGACAACAAAAAAAGCTGCAAAGAATTGCTTGATAAATTCAACACGGAGCAATCAACGCTGGCAAAGCATACATATTCAAACCTACATAACCTGTTCTTTCAGGATCATTTGAGACAGTGAGAATGAAACCTGACAATCCAGGTGAGTGGGCTGTCGTGTGTCGTACCAATGATCACCATGATGCTGGTATGGTGGCAAAGTTTCGAGTCAAAACATGTAACAAAGTTGCACCCACTTCTGACTCGAGAAAAACGAGAACATATTACATCGCTGCTGTCGAGGGACGCTGGGATTATGCACCGGATGGAAAGAACAATTTGAAAGGAATTGATTTAGATAATGATGAGTAAGTATTTCTGGGTTTCAGGTCTGGCCAGTAGGTGGTGGTCAACTTATAAGGCAAAAAATTAAACTGCATCTCTCCATTCTATCAAAGATGCTTCATGTGATGAAAAGAATTCATTATTACGTAAACCCAGTGAGTCTTGTTTCTGCTGCCTGATCTTATTAGCCATTAATAAATAAATCTTCGTTGTTGTTGTTGTTGTTGTTGTTGTTGTTGTTGTTGTTGTTGTTGTTGTTGTTGTTGTTGTTGTTGTTGTTGTTGTTGTTGTTGTTGTTGTTGTTGTTGTTGTTGTTGTTGTTGTTGTTGTTGTTGTTGTTGCTGCTGTTGCTGTTGCTGTTGCTGTTGTTGCTGTTGCTGTTGCTGTTGCTGTTGCTGTTGTTGTTGTTGTTTTCTCACTGTTACCAGGTATAACTGCAAGTTGACGAGCATCTGCTGCACGCTAGTGCTTAGTGAACTTTTAAAAATTTTCTCTCTGCAGGGATGCGATGGTTTATACCAAGTCTGGACCAAACAGAATTGGTCGTGTATATAACAAAGTGTTTTATCGTGAATACACTGATGAGACTTTCACAAAGACAAAAACACACCCGGAGTACCTTGGAATTCTGGGACCGATACTGAGAGCTGAAGTTGGCGAGACGATAAAAGTTGTTTTCAAAAACTTGGCAAGTCGTAACTATTCCGTTCATCCCCATGGCGTGTTTTATGAGTAAGTACAGATTTTCTCCGTGGGGACTCTAGTTTCCTCTTGCTGTGACAGACAACCAATAAAGGGTGGCCTTTATACTGGACTAATTCCCCAATAAACGATAGCCTTCACTACACCTCTAGTGAGAATAGTTAGGATGTGACAAAGCTTTCTATTATAAAAAATAGTTCTGTTTAAAAGGTTAGCCAACTGTTTTACTCCAATCACGGTCGACAAACCTTCCTACTTCTAACTATAAAAAATGTTGGAATATTTATTTTTGTCTCATTAGCAAGAAAAACGAAGGAGCTCTCTATCTGGACAACACAACATTCAAAGATGACGACGCTGTTCCTCCAGAGCAGACTTATACGTACACTTGGGAAGTTCCTGCCAGAGCTGGACCAAGCTCGAGTGATAATGATTGTTTGACGTGGATATATTACAGTGATGTCAACCCAACGATGGATACAAATTCTGGACTCGTAGGACCTTTGATCATTTGTAAAATGGTGAGAATTTAGTAGCCAGCAAATAGCGGTGGAGCAAATACATCTATCAGTTCCTAACTGTTCTGCCTAGAGCTCCAGAGGCATCCCTTATTGCTCCAGTGTTACTACAGGAAGAAGAAACCTAAACTAAACTAACTTTATTTATGCTGGATAGTTGTGTCAGTTCTAAACTGTTCTTCCTAGAGGTCCAGTGAGGATCATCACTTATTGATCGAGTGTTACTACAGGAGGAAACCTAAACTAAACTAACTGTATTGATACTAGATAGCTCTATCAGTTCTAAAGAATCAAACTGGAAACATTTTTTTCACATGCGTCTGAGGTGAAACTACAATTGGAAAAGTGCATATATCATGAATGAAACACCAGTCACAGAGATAAAAGTCGTGCATGAGCTAACTACTGTGGCACCAAAAATCTATAATTTGACTCCAATTTCTAAATTTCAGGATACACTATCTGCAGATGGATCTAAAGTGAAAAACGTTGATCATGAATACCCAATCTACTTCAGTGTTATGGATGAAAACCTGAGTTGGTATTTGGATAAAAATATCAAAGAATTTACATCAAATCCTGGCAGTGTTGATAAAGAGGACGAAGACTTTATTGAAAGCAACAAAATGAACATAATTAACGGTCGAATTTATGGCAACCTGAAAGGGTTAAGCATGGTACAAGGGCAGACAATCAATTGGTATCTTCTCAGTCTGGGTACAGAGGTTGATATGCATAATGTTCACTTTCATGGCCAGACAGTTTTAGCGGTAAGTCGAACATGGTTGGTACTACTACATTTGTCAGCAATATGGTCGGTTTCATGAAGCAATATCGTGCTGCAGATAGTCAGATGGTTGGCAACTTCCAGTTGTCTGAGTGAGAAAATAAAAATTATTTTTATGATATGTGATAATCTCGTATTTGGTGACAAGTGAAGTACAACTGAGAGCTGTACTTTAATTAAGGCTACTGTTTGCATAAACAGCGAGACATGAAATCATATTTTCATTTCTGCAGAGAACAACAGCAGACCACAGAGAAGACGTGATTGATTTATTTCCGGGGGTGTTCATGACGGTCAAGATGACACCGGATAGTGTTGGACGATGGTTATTACATTGTCACGTGAATGATCACATGGTACATGGAATGGAGGCTCTCTATGATGTTGCAGGTTGTGTAGAAATTCTGCCTGACTTTCACCTTCTTCTGGATATTTCCAATGAACTAACTTTATCTAGACTGGATAGCTCTTTAAACGGTTTTAGTTAGGACATTCCCTTATTAATCAAGAGCTACTACAGCAGGAAACTAACTAAGCTAAAACTATTTATAATGGATAGCTCTGAGCTTGTCTTCTTGTAGGTCTTGTTAGAGTCAAGCCTTGTTGGTCCAGTGCAATGCCAATGGTCCGCTGCAATGGTCCAGTGTTACTACAAGTAGAAGGCTGAGTTCCCCGAAAAAACTTGTGGTGTTTCGTAGAGTGGAAGCTCTTTCTTCGCGACTGTGAATGAAATTACACACAATTGCATATTGCAGGAATCGAAACCAACCACAGAGATGAAAGCCACATGCACGAACCACCTTTATATCAAGCTCCCTTCTTTAATTAGATTTTCTTTTTATAGAAACAGCACCAATCACACCAATGGCAAGTACAGAGAAACCGTCATCATCATCAAGTCTTCTTGTTGTGAATACATTCATTTTCCTTGCTGCCTATTTCTTTTTTATATGTTCTGCTTTCTTTTGAACCATTTGATATAAAACATAGGATATCTAAACGTCGTTAACATTGGTACATTTTATATGCTGTAGTTAGCGAGGTAGTTAGCTACGTTTTTATCGTAAATGTTTGGTAGTGAGTATCGTGTTCAAAATATGAATATAAATAGTAATTTTGTATTGATAATCAAGGTTCAATATAAATGGATGTATAGTGTTATGGAGCTTTTGAACTGAAAACAAATTTGTGTTAAATAAATGTAATTGTTATTTGAAATCGTTTCAAATCAAATTTTTGTGTGTGTGTATGTGTGTGTGTGAGCACTTCCATGAACTACGCCTCAGATGAACGTTGAAATGTAAACATCGATCAAATGAAAAAAATAATTTTCCTTGTGGTGCACTGTTCACTGGTAGCTACAATCGACGGTATGTCAAGTATAAAACCATTCATAAAACTAACATGAAGTTCTGATCAGAAGTAAAAAATTCTCAAAATGGCGGATGATTTAAATGCGAAGAAGCGAAAAAAGGAAGAAAACTTGGAGGTATTTTCTAATTTCTTTGAATTAATCCAGTGTTTTCAATATATAAGAATAGCTCGATTGAGCGTTTGTATAAATTACACGTTATATGTACTTTGTTTTTCGTAGAAAAATCCAAAAAGGCGAAAAACTGTCTCTAGGAAGAAACCTGGTTTTGATAAAGATATATTTAAAGAGACAGAATATTACGTAAAGGATGGTTAGCATTTCTCTACAGTTTTTAAACTGGCATATTAAAGCTGTCTTGTGTCTCTTTGAAAGTGGTGTATCCTAATATTAGTAGAGAAATGTCTGTTAATGGGAAAACGGAGTTTATCTGTTAGTTAAACCACATTGCTTATTATTTATAGTCTAAAATCAATCTTAATATAGGTTTACGCTATGTCAAACCATATCCATTCACATTCACAACTTACTGCAAAGGTCGGTGGCTTCGAAGAAAACTTATTGATGTTCTATCACAGGAATTTCAATCTGAAACAACTGAATATTATGTAAGGTTGGAAAGATACTATTATAGCACTATAGTTTATTTTTGACATAATGGCGTCCACTCAGCGCTGTATTCAACCAAGTTTGCAGGCACATAGTTCTCATGTTTACTATGCAGCAGTTTCCTAGCATATTTGCCTGCATTCCCATGGTTTCTAAAGTTTGTTTTTTTTTGGGGGGGGGGGCCGGGAGGGGCGGGCAGTTACCAACCCCTTGTCTTGTATGCCTATGATTACAGAGAATGTTAAAATGGTTTGTTAGTATATTTTAGAAGTAGTTTCAAGACCTCAACAGCTGTATTTAAATAGATATTGTTATAAAAGAACTGAAATGTGTTGAATGAAATAAATGTGTATTTTTTGCAGAGAAAAGCTATTGAGAATGGAAATATTACAGGT